TTTGACATTTGATTTTCTCCAGGTAAAACAAGAATCTAATGAATAATTACAAATATCAACTGATATGAAACACTTCTCCGTTTACATTTTTCAGCTGTATTGCCCATATCTAATTCAGACTAGCTTTGTAGAAATGTGGTAGAGTGCTTTATAAATGTCTTAGGATGGGAAAATGAAGGCACAGATTGTGTTGGAAAGCCTGGTTGGAAAGAAAGGCGCTGTATATCCTCCCCAACACATAATCTGAGATAACACATCGCACAAGATCTTGCAATAAATAATATGAGATTGTGAAAAAAAATCATTTACAAGGCTTGACCAAAATGACTGAAAGTTTCTTTTTTCATCATAAGATGATCTTTGTCTAAAGCTCTGGTATTGAAAGAAAGCAAACAAGCGTTCCTTCAAATAATGCCAAGTGTTTAATTATTTTTCCTATTTTGTTACCACATCATTGCTTGTCTTCTCTCTTCTTTACTCCTCATTATTTTGTCCTGACTTTTCATCTTCTCTCTTAGCTGTTGTGAGAAAATTGTGAACAGCCTAATAATGATAAATGGAAGAGGAGGAAGAAGAAGTTTAAGGAGAAATGCATGGCCCTCGGTCTCTGTCTGGCCTCCTCTTGATCCATCACAGCCTTGGTTTACCGTGTAACAYGCACACAAAGTCCTGCAGTCACAGAGCCGCGCCAACGTTGACAGCCACATTGGGGTTGAACAAATCTGCAGACGCTCGGTTAAACACAGTTAAACACACAGAGACACACAACCTCTTGCTCCATTGCAATATTTATTTGTGTTGGCTTGGAGTCAGCAGAGGCAGCCAAGCAGCTGAAGTGGTGCTGCTTTTTTTTTTTTTTTTTTTACATATGGCCTTTTCATACACTCCACAGTGACACACCAGACCAGTCTCATCCTCCCCTCTTTCATGTCTTGGTCCACTTCAGTTATCATCGCTGCCGTTTCCCTTTTCGTCTCCTTCATGCTCTTTTGGTTCTCACATTCTTGGCCCCTGTTGGACTCGTTTTCCTGCTCCTATTTGGTTTCCTTTATTGCTTTTCAATTGCTCATAAATCATCTCTTCCTCTGTCATATTTTGCATCAGTACTGTTGCTCTCCTCTTCCTCATTCCACATTAAAATGTTGTCAACAAGAAGGGTAGCCAGAATTTTGCTACAAAACGTGTTGGCGACTAGGTCGTGGAAGCCTTTTTAGTCACAATCAATCACAGCCCAGGGACAGACCACATTAATAAAAAAAATGTGCTACACTTTCACTAATATGCTGTTCATCTTAAATTGCAAAAGTTGAAATTTGACTAAAACAGAGCTGTGTTTTAGAGATGGAGAGGTATTTTGACAGCTGTCAAACTGATGCCTAAATGGTAATAAAAAATGTAAAGTCAATGGGTTGAGTTCTACACCGTGTGGGTGGTGTTGCCTGTTTTTTCCATGTGGGTTTGTTTGTGTGTGTTCTTGACTGATGTCCTTGACTTTATGTTCGATAATATCATTTCTTCAGGTCCCTGCTGGAGCAGACAGAGTTTTTACTTGTGTGTTCACATTATGTAAGAGAGTGATCGTCTGCTTGAATACACCCACTCCCTCAGGTCCCGTAAACTCTCTATCACACTCGAGCTCTCCTTGTTTTTATTATAGAATCCTCCCACACACATGATTTAAATGCTTCTGTGTTAGTTCTGTACACGGGTTCTGTTGTTTGCGTTGACCTTTAAAGGTCTCCAGGACCGTGTTAACGCCTCGCTTTAATGATAAGGACTCATCTTGTAGCTTATCAGTCCTGTCCACCCACTTCTCTTTTCTTCTAACTTAACGTGTGGGTTTCTCTTTACGGTAAATTCCCCAACACACACACACACACACACACACACACACACACACACACACACACACACACACACACACACACACACACAC